GGTCTCGTCCCCGACCACCTTGTTGCCCTCGGGGCACTGATAGGAAATGGTGCGGTTGAGGCCGAAGTCGCCACCCACGATCGTCGTGTTCTCGTTCTTGTCGGGACTACCGCAGATTTGAGGCCCTGCGGGGACAACGTCATCACGTCATCGGAGAGGGGCTAGAGAGGCCGTCACGTTGGACCAGCTACCCCTCGTGGTGGCGGGGAGGGGGAGGACTTAACTCTACTGAAACAGAAACTTTAAGTAGACGAACCTTTCAAATTCACGGCGATCCCAATTCACAGGTCAGAAAGGCTCCACGAAACCTTGTGGATCCAATGCTGAGCTTGCACTATGTGTCAATGGGAGAAATGGGAGGTGCGCTGGCCCAATCTCATGTCGCTTATATGCAACAACCCGGATATCATTATATTTGGGTAATGCAAAAACGCGAACATAAGACTTAAACAGCTACAATCGAGCCTCAACGCCATCATGGCCAAAAGCACATACAAAACGTAGCAACCACAGTCGGGTCTGAAGCAGTGACTCACGGTATTCGCAGATCCAGTGGAGGTAATCTAGCTTGCAGCTGACGTCGTTCCAAAGCCAGTCTCGGCCGCCATCCAGCACCACGCAGTTCTGTTGGCCCACGTAGCTGTTCGGCTGGTCCTTACCCCAACGCGGCTTCCTCACCGGCGAGCCTGGCCGTAAGTGATGAGTGAGATCGATCGCAGCGCCGTGGGGATGAGGAACTTCATCAAGCGAGCGTGCCGTGGTCAGTGGGCAAACCATGAGAGCAAAGATGCTGGTTGACGCGACTGTTTGAAAAATCGACAGCACCGACAAAATGTGTAGCCAGCTGATGCAAATGTGGCATCGCAAAGAGTCACGGAAGGGATCATGAGACAGAGAAGCCGTCAGCATGTGAATTTCCAGAGAAGCACCAAATACCAACACGTTAATAATTAATTATTCAAGCTTGTACAAACTATGTTCTTATAAGCCCATTTCCAATCCATCCGTCGCCAATCCTTGCCCCTCAGCTCCCACTGACGCCTGATCTAGATAACTCACGCGCCATCTACGTCAAAGTATCCCAATCCCATCAACCAGTCGTGCATCGACCACCAGCCTCCTCTTCTTGTCAACTTTCTGCCCTCTAACACCCGCACTCTACACCCTCCGCTCCCCCTCCCCCTCCCCCCAACAGCCGATCCCGGCGCCCCTGCTCCGACTCACCGTCCACCCAGCGCCACTCGCCCCTGCCAGAGCCCTTGCGCACGCCAATCCAAAGCAGCTGGGTCTTCATCTTTGTCTTGCTACGCTCCAGCCGGTCCAGCAGGAAGTTGAAGGCCGGCTCGGGCATCGTGTGCACCAGGTCGCCGTTGGAGCGCTGGCACTGCTGGCGCGCCGTCAGGAAGTTGGCGCCGGAGCTCAGCTGGAACTCGTAGCAGGTCTTGTTGTGGAGGCTCAGGCTGTCGAGAGGCACGTCCGACGCACATTGCTCCTTCGCGAGCTCTGCCGAAGGGGAGGCAGCGGTGGTCAGCGGCGGTGTGAAACCAGAGGGGCGCCGCAGGTCTTCTGCTCCGGTGTTTGCATGGTTGGAAGATTATCGCCAAAATCATGTAACGAGCGTAACAGTTCACAAAAATGCTTTGTTTTTTTCAAAGTGTGTAGGTAGAACATTCGCATAATGGGGGATAAGAGCGACCAATAGTAAATAAGCAGCATTCACACCGTGAACGCTGGGCGTCCGCAGCAGCAAAAACACAGTCTAGCAAGATTACGGCCGGTACAGTTACACCTGCAAGGAGCATTGCTACCAGCTCCCACCGCCAGCTGCTGATGCGCGTCCAAGACGTCACTCCTGCGGAATATGCGGCCCGTTGTCCGCTACTTTGGCCGACGCCGTGCCAGTACCGTGATTACGACTGTTTGTGAGAATGACGCGGCGCGGCGGCGAGTCTCGCGGCCGCAGCAAACGGCCCGCGAAACCACCGACCAGAAACTGGCAACTCATGACCGTGCCGCGCGTCCGACGCGGAACCGTGACTGACCCGCGCTGTGCAGTATGCTTTCGTAAGCGGCGCGCGAGCGAGAGAGGGTGAGGTGGGTTACACCGCGGCGAGCGATGGCGCAAGCCGGCCAGCGGCGGGCCCGTTGTGTAAGCCCTGCGCGGTCACGGGCTCGCTGAGGTGTCAGCGGCCGGCAGCACGCGCCCGGTCGACCCCGATCGGAAGCTGGGACTCGAAGCGGCTCTCACGGCCTGGGACGCGTGCCGGCGCCTGGGAGCCGCCGGCCAGGCGTGAGAGCCGTTCGTCAGACGGGCGCGGCTCCTCTCACAGCCGTCTGGAGGTCCGCACCCGCCTCTGAGCCCTCTCGGTGCAATCACGTGATCAGGCGTGCTGCAGCTCTTCGACGCGACTCCACTTCTACCTCACCGTCTCGACTTCGCCTCTACCTCGCCGTCGTGGCTCCACTTCTACCGAGCGGCGAGGTCGAGCCGTGTCTACCATCGTGACTCAACGTCTCATCGTTTGAAGCCCCGAGCACCCGCCGCCGCGCCACTCAACCCGGCCCGGACCAGCCAGCCCAGCTCTCGAGTCCCACCCAGCTCCCTCATCCCCGGCGGCACTGACCTTGCGAGCTGAAGACCTGGACCTCGCAGAGCGAGAGCGCGCCGTCCCACGCCAACCATCTGGATGAAGACGTAGCGGCCGGACATGCGCCGCGCGCAGCGGAAGTCCTTGTCCTTGCCCTCCTCCAGCGTGCCGGGGAACCAGGCGCATAGCCTGTTCTGCTGTAGCGAGGCACTGCTGCCCACGCGGATCTCGATATCCTGCAGCGGCTTTTGACCTGCGGACAGGGCGGGGCAGCGATGGTCAGAAGCGCCACCGGGAGCGGCAGGGGAGGCCAGGTTCAAAAACGCTGATGGAGCGGAAAGGTCAGTGCCAGAGGCGCTGACGGGGCGGGAAAGTCAGTGCCAGAGACGCTGACGGGGCGGGAAAGTCAGTGCCAGAGGCGCTGACTGAGCGGGAAAGTCAGTGCCAGAGGCGCTGACGGAGCGGGGAAGTCAGCGCCAGAGGTGCTGAAGGGGCTGGGAAGCCAGGGCTGGAGACCGTCGATGTGACAGTACAGTCATGATCAGAGACGCTGCTGGGTTAGGCACAGCGCATTCTGACCGGTTCAGAAAACAGTGGGTAGAAATACTACGCTGGTCTCTCCGCATGGCACGCACCGCCTCAGCTCCGTCTTTCGTGGGTACATTCGGGTTAATAGCGTTGGCTTCGTGTCCAAGACGCTGCGCGGTTATAGGTGGTCACACGCGGGACTGGCAGACCAAGGGGCAGGCCGCCCATAAACGGCCCGACGCCGTCACGTGCTGATGACTATCAGTCGCGGGCGGGCGGCTCGCCAAGGTAGCTCGACAGCCCACAGAAGGTGCAGACGAAGAGCTGGAAAACGTGACGTGTTGGTGACGAGCATAGAGTGAGGTAATGTTTGGGGTAAATAAGGTGCCTCTGTACTTGGGTGAGAGAAGCAGGGGCACGCTCATGTTAGCTTGGCAGTGCGCGGCATCATGGAAAGTCTATAATCAATAATCCTTTCTGAGAATTTTTGCTATAGCACACGTCTTTAAAGCTTGCTATTACATATCCAATCCAGACTAAGGTGAGTGCTTGCAACTCGCTTATGGTGCGGGATATGTGACTTTCAAGCAAGCTTGGTATCTGAAGCCGAGAAAAGTAAATATCTCGCACTGAAAGCAATTCCTCCAGACCCACACTCCCGGCGTTCGCATGCTGACCGCCCACCCCGCACGGATGGCGCTACTCACCGCAGCACCCCCGCACGGATGGCGCTACTCACCCCAGCACCCCGCGCGGATGGCGCTACTCACCGCAGCATCCCCGCGCGGATGGCATTATTCACCCCAGCACCCCGCGCGGATGGCGCTACTCACCGCAGCACCCCCGCACGGATGGCGCTACTCACCCCAGCACCCCGCGCGGATGGCACTACTCACCGCAGCATCCCCGCGCGGATGGCACTATTCACCCCAGCACCCCGCGCGGATGGCGCTACTCACCGCAGCACCCCCGCACGGATGGCGCTACTCACCCCAGCACCCCGCGCGGATGGCGCTACTCACCGCAGCATCCCCGCGCCGATGGCACTATTCACCCCAGCACCCCGCGCGGATGGCGCTACTCACCGCAGCACCCCCGCACGGATGGCACTACTCACCCCAGCATCCCGCGCGGATGGCGCTACTCACCGCAGCATCCCAGCGCGGATGGCGCTATTCACTCCAGCACCCCGCGCGGATGGCGCTACTCACCGCAGCATCCCCGCGTGGTGATGCGGATCAGCTCGATGGGGTACTCGTCCAGCAGGTCGACCCGCCACCAGGGCGACGCCTGCTCCAGCGTCTCGGTGCACTTGCCGCCGTCGTGGACCGTGCTTCGGTCGCCGTCGTTGCCGTTGGAAGGCGGCCCGCCGCGCGCCGTCGACGACTGGCTGGACGGCTTGCCCTGCGCCACGTTCGTCGCTGCGGGAGGGCAGGTAGCGTGAGTGGCACGACTGGCGGTTTCAGCGGAGCGCAGCGACCCTGTGGCGACGTCAGCGTTTACGACCGTTGGGAATGGGTACGGTGTTGGGGTCCGAACGTACACGAAAAACGAAATAATGACCCGATCTAGAGGCTGCACGTTATGTTACACGTCCATTTCTTGCGCGATACGCACGCGTATTCACACACACACACACACACACACACCACACACACACACACACACACCACACACACCCACACACACACACACACACACACACACACACACAACACCACACACACACACACACACACACACACACACACACACACACACACAACACACACACACACACACACACACACACACACACACACACACACACACACACACACACACACACACGACTCACTCACGCATGCACGCACGCACGCACGCACGCACGCACGCACTCACGCACTCACGCACGCAACGCACGCACGCACGCACGCACCACGCACGCACACACGCACACACACACGCACACACACACACACCACACACACACACACCACACACACACACACACACACATGTTGTACTCAGACGGCGCCAGATGCGCTTGGGTGGCGCAGTCGCCCCTGAAAATGGTGTGTTTACTTGTTTCTTTGCCGTGCATCACTGTGTAAAACGGCACACCCACGCAAACAAGCTATGACAGTTTTTTCAATTTATGGACACTCGTAGCTGATCGTCAAAAATAAAGCTTCTGAGAAAAAGGGAATCCATTTCTAATGTCAGGCTGAATCTATTTCACAAACGTTGCGGTAGAGTAGTGCGGATTACAACGACATCTAATCGATAGCGCGCTGCTAACGAGTTAGCAAATTAGAGACAGCTAACAAGGCAAAAAAAGGGTTACAGATAACTACATAAAGGCACGTCTACGTCATTTAGGCCCTGCATAGAGAAAGGCTCTGTCGAAAAGAACCTTGTCTTTTGTCCCGGCCCTCATTTGTCAACAGCAGGCGTGGAATGGACACGTCTAGCTCGTCGTACCAGACGCCATCTGCGTGTATCCTGGTTCGCGGTCGGCGAAAGTCCAGCAAGGCCGATGTCCCCCGGCGGAGGCAGGCGTCCGAAAAGTGGAGCAGATATTTCGGGAGCACCAACCGTTGAGAGGGGCTGTTCGCGCCAGCCTCCTCCCCCCCCCCCCCCCACGGTCTCGAGCAGCGGAGACCTGCCTCACGTGAACTCCAGTTTCCTGCTTCGGATGACCTACAGTTTCTCTCGCATGTGAACTACGGGGCCCAGCCTCCTTCTACAGACCCCGGAGCTGTGTAAGTCATCCTACCTGGCGTGCTTGTTTTTGACCGAATATAACGTCCTGCCTGGGATAAACTCCGACTGTGGACTGCGAGGCCACATCTAAAGGCTGCCTGAACAGAAACATTATCACCTGACCACTATGCAGCATGCGGTGACCCTAACACGACCATTATGCAGCGTGTGGTGACCCTAACACGACCATTATGCAGCATGCGGTGACCCTAACACGACCATTGTACAGCGTGTGGTGGCCCTAACGCATGCCATTAAATAATATATAGAACAGGTCGCTCAACTCCATTTCAGTTGGGCCCTAGGTCGCTGCCTCGAATGGTTTCTGACTGTCAGACGGCAACTCCGAAGCTCTGCCCCGGAAAGATAGCTTGGATGCAGATTGGATGGATTACAGTCGGATCTCGGTCGAGACATGCTCAGTCTCATCTCGCCAGCCCCATTTCGTCAGTCTCATCGGACACGTGAGCCTCATCTCACGTGGTACGCGATTCCGGTCTTGTCCATCACGCGTTCGTCCAGCACGTGAGTTCCACCTCGCCTGACAAGTGCGTTTCATCTCGTCCAGCACGTGAGCTGCATTCCGCCCAGCACGTGAACCTAGGTCGTTTGGCGCACGGGTCTCATCTCGTCTAGCGAATGAGTCTCCCCGGTTACATGAGCATTCTCTCGCCTCGCCACGTCGTCCACCTGACCTCATCTGGCACACGAGCCCCGCCGCCGCCGGCCCCCGTCATCTCCGCCGGCCCGGTGTATCGAGCGCGTGCACCGCCAGCCGATCACTTTCTCCGGAACGGCCAGCCGGTGGGCGGGCTGGGGACGCGGGCCGCTGCCGGCCCTGGGCTTTCTCCAGCCGGCCGCCGCCAGCCGGGTCGGCCCGGCCGACCCCCGCCGCATGCGGGTCGCTCCAAACACGGCGGCGGGCGGGGCTGCCCTGGGACGCCCGGCCGGCCGGCCGCCGCCCTGCTCCGGCGGCCGGATCTGGAGCGGGCCGCGGCGACTCCGCCCGGTCACCGGTGGCCAAGGGACGAGGCCCCCTGGGCACTTGAAAAAGACAAGCTCTTTTGCCTCAGATAGAGTTTCGGCCGATACCCAGCTTCGGATGTCGCTTTCGAAACTTTATCCCACCCTCTGGGATTCGGTGATGATTCAACCCCTGTGTCCAGATGGTAACAAGATCTGAAAGCACCCTGTTCTGGAAACACATATCGTCCATGTCCTGGAAGCATATGTGGGAGGTGCAGGTCGAATAGCTTGTTCGCTTGCGGTACTCGGGATTTACCTCTAAGGGCGCATGCTGGCTTTGGCGATGCGGGGCACCACTCGAAGTTATTTCATTTAAAACCTAGTTTGGCGCGCTACAGACGTGCGCCAACCGGCGTAAAACAACACTGTACGCTCTCGATATACGTATGCTTATCGGTGTTCTTCTAATCCCTCGTTGTTTAACGTTAATTCGTGTCAAATTAATACACCGAATGCGCGCTGTAAGGGGGAGGTAGCACCTACCACCGGGGAACCACTCTGTACGTGCGCCCTTGATGGCCTAGCTACCTGGGTGCGGACCAGTCACGGCACGTCCCCTCCATTCACTGTGGTTATCGCCGTGTGCGATCCTCGGCGATAGGCACGGTGTCCTGGCCGCGCACTGCATGCACACATGCCAGTCACGGCACGTGCTGAGCCGGCGCACGGCGCCATATCACGGCACGCGCCGAACAGGTGCGCGGCGCCATATCACGGCACAGTGCTGAGCAGGTGCACGGCGGCCATGTCACGCGCAGCGTGCGCGCCCTGACCGTGTTGCTGGTCTAGATATAGGTCTGCTGGGCTTTGTGTAGGCCTGCTGGGCTGTATGTAGGCCTGTTGGACTGTGACGAGAACACATGCCGCGACATGACTCACCCATTCATTATTTTGTGCCGTGCCCGTTCGCGCCCAACTTGGACTCCGGCTAGGAATCGGGCGTCCGGAAGCCAAACAGCGCCCCAAGCACAGCATACGTCACACGAAGTAAAAATGACCTGGCCATCAGGATCTGCCCTCTATCTGCGGCTACCGTCGCCTCAGTGACGGGCAACGGCGGTGCAGCTGTCTGAAGGGCAGCCCAACAACGGCGGTGCAGCCTCTCTGATGCAGCCCACACACGGCGGTGCAGGCCGTCTGAGGCAGCCACAACGGCGGTGCAGGGTGCAGCCGTCTGAGGCAGCCCACAACGGCGGTGCAGCCGTCTGAGGCAGCCCACAACGGCGGTGCAGCTGTCTGAGGCAGCCCACAACGGCGGTGCAGCTGTCTGAGGCAGTCCACAACGGCGGTGCAGCCGTCTGAGGCAGCCCACAACGGCGGTGCAGCCGTCTGAGGCAGCCCACAACGGCGGTGCAGCCGTCTGAGGCAGCCCACAACGGCGGTGCAGCTATCTGAGGCAGCCCACAACGGCGGTGCAGCTGTCTGAGGCAGCCCACAACGGCGGTGCAGCCGTCTGAGGCAGCCCACAACGGCGGTGCAGCCGTCTGAGGCAGCCCACAACGCACTGCGTTGATCAGCTCAGTTCTTTGACTAAGGTTAGGTATCATCAGGTCTTACTGCGTCTGCCTTGCAGGTCTGTAGGGTGTGTGTGTGGGTGTGTGGGTGTGGGGGGGAAGACAGGGGGCACGTGTTCTCCGCTTATGTTCCGAGGGGCTCTTAGATTCGTTGGGATAGACGATCAAGGGCCCGGTGGGAGCGTCGGAATGATTGGCTGCACCCCGCCTCGTAGAGTTGTTAGGCCTTTTAAATGTTAGTCAGAGGGCTTTGGGGGTGGTGGAGGGAACAGTGGCCCCTCAGAAGCAACGAAGACCTTATGCCAAGTCTATTCATCTTGTTTTTGGTAGGAGGTAGGGTTTTTCACTGGGGGCCAATCATCAAGCATCGAATCGTTTAACTTCAAAAGGCCTGTCACAAATTATCGGACGCCACCAAGGCCCTGATATGGGAGCTCTTGGAACTCACGGGACCCATTTTACATGTGTCTGAGCTGAACTAAACACATGTGTGCCGGAGAATGTAGCGACAACAATTATGTAATACCAGTCGCCCAGCCGACCGCAACGATACACGTTTGACACCCGGCAATGGACCATTCTATGAGGCAAGAAATATGTCAATGCACTTATGCGTAAGACCTATGTCTACGATCTGGCCAGTTAGTGTGTTCCATTATGTAAACCCGCTCAAGCCCCGAGGGCCAAATAGAGTCGGCGCATTCACGCTGCTCCCAATCGACTGGCTGAAGAGACGTGCCAAATACATACCACTCTGTGTGTTACTGCGTGTCATTTCGAACCAGGCTAATCCGAAAAATTGAACGTGCTAATCTCTCACTTGACGTTGATGACAGCGGTCATTACCTCGCATGAACCGGAGATACTGCGCGGGCAGCGTAAGCGCCAGTGTAAAACTACGTGCTCACGCAGCCGCTGTACTCGACAACTGGATTAGTTTCATGCTGGATGGTTTTTCAGCCCACATGTACTGGTAATCGTCTGACTCCTGCTGCGGCACGCAGCTGTACCAACCGGAAAAATGGCGGCGCACAAGGCCTGAATCCCTAACAATGGTCGCAATGGTCGACACCTTTTTTACTCATAATAAGGGCAAAAATACACATTAACCACACCATCTCTGCATCTGTTTCCAAAACAAAGACTTCTTCAAGTTTTTAGAGGTCTTCAACAAGAAAGCTTCCAAAAACTTCCGGCAAGTGCTTCTTGACACTTTGATAAACAGCTCTCCGTTTAGCTGCTTTGTTTCCGACACAATGCGCTTATAATGACGGCCTGGAATCACCCGTTCATTTCCTAGCCCTTGAAATCCGGATGGCTACCATCCATTCCGTCGTCTGAACGGCCTCCTCCTGCGGATGTCGCCAAGGCGAACAATCACCACGAACGCCATCACCGCTCCACCGAATTTAATGCAGATCGTCTCCAAATATGAGCGCTTTCCGTCTCACTCAAGGTCAGTCCGCCTCACTGGCGGCGACGGGGCCGATCCCCTGCCGCCGGCGGCGCTGGCCGGCGCGGCGGGCCTCGCCAGGATGTGACCAAGGTCGGCCCGGCCCGGCCTGGCGCTGACCATGCCTCGGGGGCACAGCGCCTCCGACGGCCCGGTCGTCCGCCCCAAGGTCACTCACCGCAGGTGAGGGGCTCGCCCGTCCAGGTGTCGTCGGCGGAGCACAGCCGGCTGGCGTCCCTGGCGACAGAGGGGGACCGGTGTCAGCTGGGGTGCCGGCACGCCGCGCACGGTCCCAGTGAATGAGAGGGGCGGTAGGGAGGGGAGGGCACGATGTGGCTCGGGTGTGACAGACGGGAAACACGATCGATTAGGTGACTGCGCTTGGTTGGACGCGGTTGGAAGGTAGAGCAAAGATGAAAGACAGCATAAATAGTGCTTGGTTCTCCCGACAAACGTACATTCACTTAAAAAATATTTCGAGAATTGTTTCCTGAACCCGTTTCTCGTTGATTTTTGATACAGGTATTTCATCTTTAAGTCTTCTACTGCAGTGATATTGTTAAAGTCACATCATTTGATACATGGGATTGCTTGTGCTTGCAATGTGATTGCAATGTTTGACTATCTCCAAACGACTAAAAAGGGCACTATTGTCATTGCATGCATCTTTTGGAGTCCATATGCATGAGTGTTTTGCATGGGCATGACAGAGGCACTGATGGGCCTAATTATCTCAGAACCACAACTGGACCCGCAGTGCTAGTTTCGGTGATGACAGGTGTTCCATCCAGCATAGTCTTTCATAATCATACCTATCATCATAGCCATATCATCAACCAACTAACAACCATCATCTGTCAAGAGCCATCATGCCATCAACCATCAACCATTATTTGCTCATTTAAAGACAGCGTGGTTTGTTATGAAGATAATGGAGGTGTTTTAATAACAGTGTTATTGTTGATGCCATTCTGTAATGTTTTACACTGAATTCTCACTGCCGATGTCGTCGGCTCCAACAGCCTGGCGGCCCAAAATACCGCCTTCTGGTGGAACAAGAGCAGCACATTTCTGTCAATATCTGCCAAATCAACTAACAGTTAAACACTGTGCATCCCGGTAACTGAGTTAGGGAGCCCGCATTCCAATTCGCTCACTCATTACAGGGTGGGCGGACTTAAGGCCCTTGCCATTTGCTTCTGGCTGGGATGGTCGGCAGCCGATGGAAGCGGTTGTGCCAAAAGGTCAGACGAAGTTTAGAGGAGAGGACGGGCCGTGCTGGACACTGCGGTAGGTTAAGCTTTCGCCCCCCAAATGTTGCCGTTGATCCGGGATTTCGCTATGGGATGTGGGGTCAGGGCCCAGGCAAAAACCACTGGTCAGAGTGGATGCTGATCCCAGAAATCCATCCAATCAAAATGCTCGGGCAGTTACCAGAGCCTGGCGAATGAAACATATGATGAAGTAACATGTAGACCCAATTTAAAAAATAACTCTCAGCAGATATTTAAGCACATGCAACACAATCACATCGGAACATTATTGGAATCACTGAGTGTTGGGATTTTTGATGGCGTGTTTAAGGCTTTACATTCCAACCGCTTCCAGCGAACCGCGAGGCAGGAACAGGTGATGAGTGATCAGAAAACCGGCGAGGCAAATGGTACGCGACAGAGCGCTGGGATTTGTGACAGCATTGGTAAGCTGTTAGGTTTTCGATTGTTTCAATACCCTTATGGGTAAGGGAACACCGTTTCTCCTTGACAGCCCACTGTCCCACCAAATCTCCCGCACGACCTTGCACCCCTCCTCTGACATCGACCTGTTAGACAAACACCACTCGGCCCTCACGGGCGAACACCTCCCCAGCGCCGTGACGCCCGCCCCCGCGCGCGTGCTTCACGCGGGGCCGAGCCTCCGGCGGCGGCGGCGGCAGCGGCCGTGGGAGCCAGCGCACGGACGGCCCGCCTGGCCGGTTTCGCCAGGTTTCACTCCGAGACCAGCTCGGCTGGCGGATCCGGCCAATCGCTAACGATCTCGAGCGGCTGCGGCCCGGTCTGAGGCTGCGGTTTGGTGGCCGCCACCGCACCGAGGTCGTGTAAGGCTGGAATCTAGCCTGGCCAATCCCGAGTGCTCAGGCTGGCTGATTACCAGCATTTGCGAAGTGCAGCTAAGCCAGTTGAAAACATGGTGATACCCAGATACGCAAATGATACCCAGATCACGGACATCTACAACGGAGGATCATCCCTATTCAATCAATCGATTGACTACATGCTTCAGGAACATCCATGGCACGGTTCTCAGTATCCCACGATAGTGTCATGCGTAAAAGTACGGGTCACATCCGAATGCAGCATTCCCGCGGAATTAAAAATTGATGCAGATACCATCATCGGTTTTCAGCCTTCCTGTCATTTTATGACTGCAGTCATGGCATTGACAAACAGCAGGCCACGACCAGGTAGAACAAGATACACATTCTTGACAGCCATCACAAGCAGCGGATCCAGACCAGGAATTGGCCCCAGCACAGAGCGACTGCGGATTTGATAAAGGGTCCCGCTTGGGTGGCGCGCGAGTGCCGTCTCTCAACGGAGGGGCCCGCCAGGCGTGTCAGGAACGCGGCTGCCAGCCAAGTGCAGTGGTATGCCTCTCCCATGGTCGGAGGAAGCTCAAGGACAAGGAGCAATGTGATCCCGACCTTCAATGGCGCGTGGCAATGGCATGCATGCTCATACTTTGATGTTCATATTACATGAATCATTTCAAGGAAGGTTCTATACAACAACAGGTGGCCTTGGACGGACGAACATGAACTAAATAGATGATCCATTTATCGCACATAGATTTCCTGACCATAATTCGGTACAAAAAGCTCTCGGGGCTGTCACGTTGGTGCCATTTTCAGAAATTCCGCCGGCCATTTTCAGAAATTCCGCCGGCCATTTTCAGAAATTCCGCCGGCCATTTTCAGAAATTCTGCGGGCCATTACGTATCATTACTCATAATGCCGTTACATAGTGGCATAGCAACCACAAGTGAGGTTCGCGTGATGAAGGCATGGGACGGTCCTGAATGGGGTCGTCGCCAACAGCCCCCGATCGGCAACATTTCCTGAACTCAGCTACAGCTCCCCCGAGTGCCGCACTATTTCCATTGTGGTGGACGCATCACGTCATCGACATTGTCGTACGTTTATTGGAACGGAAATTAAAAGAATAAATATGTAGGAAAACATAACAGCACATAGCCATGCAGCCTAACAAAAACTAAGAATACGCGGAATGGCGCAGCCTGTCGTGAGCCATGCTCCCCACCAGGGCACAACGGGCGCCTTCACTCACTCTCTAACAAGGCAGGTTTGCAGAACACGCGCTGTCGCAATCCGGGAAAACGGAGCCCACGGTAAGCGCGTCCTCCACGCGTGAAATTCCCATCAAAGCCTCGCGCCGGGACGTCACGCCGCCCTAGCTGCCGCCGCGCGCCCCGCCCGCGCGCCTCGAGACGGTCTGGCGCGCTCTTCCCGCGCGCGGAGTGGGCGGGCCGGCGTCGGCGGATGCGGCCGGTGCGCCGAGGGGACGAGGCCGGCAGCTGCCGTCTCGGCCCGCCTCGGACAGCGATCTGGACCGTGATGCGGAGCGGAACGCGACGGGACGCGGCCGCCGCCCCGCCGCGCCGCCCGGACCGCGTGGCGCGGCGGAGCGAGCGGGGCAGCGCGGGCAGGCGGAGAGCAGGGGAGTCGCCGCGGCCGGTGTGAAGTGGAGTCCGGTCAGCGAGGAGGTGACACACATTCCGAGAATGGAATGTCTGGCTTTTAGATCAGGGGCAAACTGTGCAGCCCCATCTGCGGTGGCGTGAAGCAGGATATAAAGTAGTCCTTAGCGTAGCAAACCTGCGCAAGGCGGTACAACAACGAATTATATCGCTGAGACTTCTTACGGCGGTGTGCGCCGGTTTGCAAACAACAGATATATCCGTGATGAGGTCAGCAGGCAGGCATCAGAAGTGACGTCAGCAAGCACGCATCCGTCGCCATTCTGGCGGGCATGCGTCATTCGCAGTGTCAGCACATGGCACGGACTGCCAGCGGTCATCGCAGGCTATTTCTAGGGCGACGGCGTAACGGTACCCTCCTCTTCCAGGGTCCAGCTGTCGGGGTGCTGATCAGCGAGAATCGTAATGTCACGGCAAAGGGCGACCGTTTCAGCCGGCCCGTCACCTGCACCGGCAAAAAGCAGCCTCATCGATCAGGCTTATAGCTGACGCGTCAGGACGATGTCGCAGCCCGGCACACCGCTGGAGAGCGGATTTCCGAAGTGAAGCACTGCCTGGAGCGGCTTGTGAGCGAGGGACTACGGGTAGGAGGCGCGCGGAGCGTACACTGCAAACGCCTTTCATCTGGATCTAGTCCTACAGAGGAATGCAATGTAATCGACGCTTTAAAACGAACGTGCTCGCTGTGCATTACCGGAAAGCAGCTACAATCAGTTCGATGATCACCAGTTTGATGCATGCTCAGTGGCTGATTGTCAGTTCTACCCTTCACCACAATACGCATGACCAACTAAAACCGTAGTCGTGTCACGAGTCCACGGTTATATCGGCGTAGAAAGACGAACAACAGCCACCCAAGACAAGGGTGTTGACTCCCGGAGCAGACTTTGGTTCTGGTCAACGCGATTTAAAACAGTTGAGAACAACCCGACCTCAAGACGAACATCCGCTGGTGAAGCTTTCGGAGCGACCGGTTTCGCAGCGTTTTTCGGTGCCATCAATATTTGATCCATATCACCAACGTGTCGCCATAAACCACTGAAGCCGCCCAGATTCCTTGCGTAGGGGAAACCTGTTCTTCTTTGGTCTATCGCCAATTAAGTTTAGGAGCTCGGCTCACGTCAACCCTCACTAAGTGTGCCTTGCTGTAAGCACTCGGTAAGATCCCTCTCGAGCCATCTCCCACTGATTTGCCTCAGCGCACTGAGCTGACTACCGCGAGAGTTTTCTCCTCTCATTGTCGTCTGACCTCCAGCATTTTTTTGTGCACTTTTTTTAACCCAGTGCCCACTGGTAACACCCTTCACGTTTACAGTCGCGGGCCGCCCCTTAGTGTCGGGGTGGATTTACGACGTTTTTTGCTGGGTCCCTAACGGACAAAGACAAAATCGCAGAGGAATTCAGGCCGCCTTTAGCATTAAACCACCTGGAGCCTGGGACCCAAATGTTTCACCGCGGT